TTTTCGGTACCTGTAACAAAGGTGTTTTTGTTCGTTGTAAACGATGGAAATATGTCCCCCATTTTATTCAATAACATTTCATATTATATACATAATATGAAAAGTGTGCCCAATAGGGTCGAATTTAAGATCATAAGGGAACCGAGGCGATGACGGAAATTGTATTTTCAGATTGCCACTGATAACGCACGTGAATTTGTACTCTTGGATAGGTTTCATGAATTTTAATTAATTTACATTCTGGCCTGGTGTGAAACCTAAACGCACTGTATCTGTCATCAAGTTAACACTCGTGACAAAACTCGAGAGTCTCTCCATGTATATCGTGCCGTGGTATCTTAAATATAAGCACTTTATATCATAAAAAGGGGATGGTTACGTTACATGTTTTTCACTGATTAACATGAATTTTTAGATATCGAATCTGTACGAAAAAATTCCTATGATATTCGATAAATTTAATTTGAGCCCTACCCCGCTCAAATATTCCAAGCGTCTCCTACACAACAAGAAAGCTAAGAAATGGAATTCATACGGAAATTCGAAATTGCACGTGTCTGTTTTCAATTGTGCCACAAAATACTCGGCAAATTCGATGAACCACCTAAGCAACGTGAGAAAATTTTCGGATCAGGTTAGTGCCATGTATTTCGATATAAAATGTTCATCTGCCTTTTGATTAGAAAAATTTAAAAGTTAGGTTTCCTGGGAAATGTCATAAAAATGTTAATTTGTATGCCGAAATTGCTGCACGACATTCTAATCGGCTTGGGATGAGTAAAAAGATTCAATTAGGGGAGAGCGGCACTTAACAAATTTGTTTTTTTTTATTTAGTAAGATAAACATTTTTTATTCGTAAATAAAAAAAGTGAATCATTTACAATAGAGAAAACAAAAAAGTAACAGTAAATTAGTAACAATAGTGAATGAATAGTTCTCGATGCTAGATCCTAGCAGCAATTTTTTTGCGCGATTTGTGGTAGTTGTTGTTGGCATGCACAGAAAATAAGAAATTCGTCCAATTCCATTAAATTTTTTTACCTTCACGTACCACTGTACTTGGTCGCTTGCCAATTTAAAAAAATTTGGTTTTGAATTTGTGTTTTTGCGTTCAGAAAGGATTAAGGAAAGTCCGTTTCGGTATTCTATCGGTCGAGATTGAAATAGGGAGAGAAGTGGGCAGGCAGCGAGAGATTCTGGCTTGTGTGCGATAAAAATTATCTTCGAAGACTAATTACCAAGCGATCACGTGCACTTTTTGCGCGCGAATTTGTCTACAGTTAAAGATTCGCATTTCGCACGTAGTGTTTTTTTAAGTGAAAGGGTAGTATACAAATTCTAATCTCAACGAAATTTGATACTTGGGTGTTTTTCAACCGGAAAACAACGAATCTAAACATACTTTTTGAAAGTGCGAAAAATAATTTTAACAAGAAAAGGGCAAAATTTGGTGCGTAGTGTATTTACGCCTAAATCTGGTCGCGTATGCGCTAATCAAATGCAAGAATGCCCCAAGCTCCAGGTGCCAAATTTTTCCAATTCCGTTTCGGGGTGCGTTGCCTTGAGGTAGAAATTTTCTCAAACATTTTACAAAATGTGGCAAGAGCATATCCAGAAACATGAGTGAAATTGTTGTGCCATACTTGTGTATTGTTAAGCACAGAATTGGTTTATTTAATTTGAATTACTGTCTTAGTGTTGTTTTTCCTTTTTTATAATTGTTTGTAATTGCGTAAATTTGTTTGTTTAATTTTATCGTCTATGTAAATTGTTTATTTAGATTTATGCATTTAACTGTAAAACGTAAAATTGCCCGTTAAAATGCGGGAACAAATGGTCAAATTTGCGTATTTTATTAAAGGTTTATTTAATAGTTCACGATAAGAACTTTTGATAAGGCAAAAGTTAATTAATTTTAACGAAAATGCACATCTGGCGCAGATAAGATAATGCACCAACAATTGCGCATCTCGGGAAAAAGAAGAGGGGATTTCAAGCGGGTTCCTGCGAAGTTAGCGTTGTCTAATCTAATTTTGGACGGACTCTTTATTTGTAAATACCGGAAGAAAGAAGTTCACTGTATGGTGGGTGGAAGTGGTGTTTTGTTAAATACTGGAGACAACGAAAAAAACTGCTGGTTCGCGACGGTTGGAAAAGAATGTACGTCTCCTTAAGCTATTTTTATTCGAGTAGTTCACCCTATTTGATTCATTGAAGACGTAGTTTGTTAGAAGAAAGTTAACTGAAGTTGTTTAAAAGTTGTGAGAAGTTTAAATCGAGTTGTCCATTGTACGGAAAAAGTTAGACAAGTTGAAGTAATGACAGCAGTGTTAGTGCTCCCTGAGGCCTTCTGTCGAATTTCTCTTGTTAAAGAGCTATGCCCTTCGAGCAGCCACCGATTATGTTCATCATCGTATTCAACATGCCACTTTGTTTGTCAGCAAGTTGGTGTGAAGAAAAATGAAGTTCTGAAGCCGTCAGCGTTTGTGTTAAGTGCGCCTGTTGATCATAAACCTATTTATGACCAGATTTGGATTATTTAAAAGGAAAGATTTCTTATTCTGACTATTAACCGCTTGCGTGCGGGGTACCTAATATGTCCAAAGAGGCTGTGTAGCCTTTCCGTCAGGAATTTTCTTTTTACGTGTGTCGGAATAAATTTTTGTTATTGTCAATCAATTAACCCGTTGTGCGAAGCGTTTTTATGTCAGATTTTTCTCTTCGTATCCAAGATTTATTTCAGGTGTTATATATAAAAATTTGCTTAATAAATTATTTGGAATTTCGGAAATTGAGTGAGGCCACCGAGTCTCCCGAATTATTAATTTCAGTCAATATTGGGATTTTTCTTTGTACCAAAAGCCTGACGTATATGAGGAGAAATTTTGGTCTTCTTTAGCACCGATGTTACGTCACTTATAAGTACAGTGTAGGTAAAATGGGGGCAAAGTTGCCCCTTTTTTTGACTAAAAAACGCATTTGACATTTTTGAAAAATATTTAAAAATAACTGAGGTCGCAAAAAAACTGAAAATGTCAAATTTCGTTCGAAAAATCATAGATTAAAACATGATTTTGACATTTTTCTGATAAATTTATCTAAAAGTAGGTATAGAGTGTCACGTCATTATTTTTCTTTTTTTGTCCTTTATCTCATTCCATAAAAATGTAATATGGCGTCTATAAGAAATAAGAAAGTAAGTGGAAGCCTGTAGGTATTTTCTTCATTCTACGATTGTACGAAAAAAGTGCCCATAGAAGGTGCTAACGGGAACCGCCCATTTCCTACCGTTCAAGCTAGGGAAAAGAAAACGAAATTTGACATTTTCAGATTTTCGTTGATATCTCAGCTATTTCCAAAGATTTTTCAAAAATTTCAAATGCGATTTTTCAGTCGCAAAAGAAGGCAAATTTGATCCCAATTAACCTACACTGAATCTCTCACCCTTACGGAGATCCCAATGGTGAGACACGCATTTGAACCATCCTGTCCACAATGTAAAATTACGGAATCAGGAGAACAAGGCAAGGGTATGGGTTGCAGAGATTGATTTGTCACATGTTAACTACGGAGATAAGTGCTCCACAAGGCTCCTTATTAGGACTTACTGTTTCCTATCCATTATGTTAGCCTTATGGAGGTACTTAGATTCTAGACCTAGCGTATATGCAACATCAATGAACTGCTATATGAATGTGAAATTCGAAAATGGTTTTCGCATGTAGTATCTACTAAGATTGCTATCAATTTTGTTAATGCTTCATCAAATAAGAGAAGAGCTTTTGCTTTGACATTGACTGTTCATGCATAGTCTACAAGGCAATGTCCTGTGAGTATAATCCGTAGACATAAAAAGGATATCTTCCACAAGAAAGTTATAGAACATGGTATCATCATTGCATTTTCAATTGAAAATAAAGTATAAAAGATGCAGACCGACGCTCTACTAGAGTTTATTTTCCGCCATATTACATTTATAACCTATGCGGACATATAACTAGAAAATGCCATGCTTATTTCTGAAATAGATTTTAAAGTGAATTGGTAACTATTTCCCTGAACACCTCAACGATGAAAGAATCATTTTCGAGCGATGGAAAGTTCGTTCACTCAACTTACAGGAGAGTATATTCAACCAAAATCGGAACTGTTGATTAATTCCCCGGAAAAGTCGTTCAAAAATATAAGAAAAAGTAAATGGATGTGTAACATCAAAGAAAACCGCGACGCTCCTGAAAATTACATTTCATATATAAAGTGTACGAAAAAGATCGGAAAATATTTCCTTAAGTGAATTTTATTTAACCTCGCTTGAAGATATTGATTATACGTCCGCTCTTTAGACGTATATTAAATGTTCAATTTGAAAACGGATGATAGTCTACACTGGAGAGATATTGTTAAGTTAAGCGCGTCTTGCACTGACGCGATTATATCCAGGCGAAGGATTATTTCAGAAACACATATAGCTACAACGAAATTGTACCTACATCATTATTCCCTTGGAAAATCTCTCCAAGAAAAATTAATTCCGCGATAGGTGTTTATGACAGCATAGGAAATTTTACCTTATACGGCTTGCTATCTCGAAATCTGTTTATGATTTTTTAGTTTTGTAATAGGGCCGTTTAAGTGTATTATACAGGGGTCTGCGTAACAAGGTTTTTAAAATTGGAATTATTAGGAAAATAGTATTTTGCGGAATGTGTCCTATTTTGGAAATCTGCGTTACCAAGTGTTCATTTAAATAGCAAACGGGACCTCAGTAGCAAGGCGCATATCTCAAAAGCATCCATTTGTAAAATGGAATCTCCGAGCATTTCCAACTTTGTTAGTTTGTTTATAAAAATTGTGCACTGCTACGTTTGTTCCAAGAAGAATTGCTAATTCTGGATGGGAAATTTAATGAAACTATTCCTGGAGGGGTCATCTCATGAAATTGCATTTTCTCTCGTACAAGTTTCGCATACTGTTTCCATTTCGAGTGTTTGAGAAGATTTACAAAGTCAAATAAATCAAATACTTACAACGCATCGCATTGTTGAATCCTCCTCCCGCTATCCGCGGCCAGACTGTGTCTGGATACCGCATCTCTCTGAATGGGCCCTAAAAAGAAAAACTCAACGTTTTGTCAATGGCTTAACAACTTACTCTTGTTGTTGTTGTACTTGGCACTTAGCGCCGTAAGACTCGACATGATTCGCGCTCTGTGCGACGCAATTTTCACCCCGAGATCTTTTACGTCGGACTCTGTAAATTCGAGCAGTTCCTCGACGCCATCGTATCCGGCGAAGCAGTCCGCGTACTGTTCCAATTCTAACACTTTCAGCCAATCCGAAATGTCCAAATGCTTCCGGGCCTTTCGCCTTTCTGTCCCGGTCGCGTTTATTTCGTTATGGCGAAGCTTTGATTTGAGCGAAACGAGAGAACCGCAACGGGTCCATGTTAAACCTGCAAATAAAAGATGAAGTTAGCTGTATTCTCTTTGAGTGAATTACGGCACTCTCCTCTCTGAACCACGTGCTCGGTGTTATAAGGAGATAGTACGAGTTCAGATTTACTTATTTCCTAGTCTAAAACGGGCAATATTAAACAAAATTTGCAGCTTTGCTCTTTCCCTCTTGTTCAAGTTTAGGAACAAAAAAACGAATGTTGCTGATAATCTGACTTGACTTCTTTTCTCAGTTTTCTTTGAGATGTTAAATGTAAGCATATTGTTGTTTTTAAACTTCTTTACCTAACCAGAACAGATTACTACAAAAGGCCTTCGAGTTTTCGAATTGTTTGAAGACGATATGAGAATGCTTACAGAAATAGCTATTGCCCCTAGTGCTCGACATTTTTAACACCTAGTGCAATATGCATTCGTATCGTATGGATTATGTTAAATAAAATTAAATTAGGTAACGTGAGAACAGTTTCATTTACAATTCACGCAAACATTTTACAATAAACGCCCCATGAAAGAAACTCCCCCGGAAATTAGAAAGCGCATGGACATTCCAGAATAGTCAAATGGCGAGCTTTTAACGAGGAAAACTTTATGCTCAAGCAAGGATCTTACTCAAGGGAATGCAACAATTTTTCACAGAAAATGCTTCCGAGTTTTCTATCACTTATTTAGGTGGGCGCCTACTAAGCATTTTCTACACTACTTGCACCGCCTCGACAACTAAACTTGTCGGCGTAATACCGACCGCAACGACATCCGACTCTCCACTCTTTTCGGCGAAATTTTGTTGGCTTTCCCGATCAATGGAGATGCCGGGGGCGAGCCTTGCTCACTCTTTTCGTTGACTGAGTCCTTAATTTTCGGTCTACTAGGAACGAACGCATAAATGGCAGTACTCGGCACCGATTGGCAACGGAACCGCGGACTAGTGTTAGAGGTTGAAATGAAGAACCAAGTTGGATGCTCAGTGGCCCCACTGACATGTCTTTATTATAATAGGGGGAAGTTCCGCCTAGGTCTGCTTCCTACACAACAAACATTTACGACAACATTTGGCCTTACTGTCAGCAGCAGTAAACATTTTAAAACCAACCTAAAGCAGTATAACTTCCTTTGAAACCCTTCAATGCATAAGTATTCATAAAGTGATAAAATTAAAATATGAGTCAATTATAACAGGACCATAAAAAGGAATTAATTAATCCTTTCAGCTAAGTTAATATAATTTACTAGCAGCTTGCGTAATAATCATTGAGGCAACAGTCAAATTGTTTATAAATCTGCGTGCTGATTTGAGGATGACCGCGAACGAGGCAACTTGAGGCTGTATGCGGCAGTACGCAGCTTTACGTGGGATCTGTAACCGTAGCGGTCAGCGTTTTTTCGAATCGCCGAAGATCACCCGCCGTCCGGGTCCGTCAGTATTATTTTGAACCATAGTAGCGGGTTGACACTGAAAGTGGGCATGTTGGCTCCCGCCGCTGCGCCAATCTTATGTAGATGGTATTTAAGCGGTATATGACTTGTGAAAAGCCCTGTAATGAACCATAGGACTTTCCTGTTGAGGGCTGAAGCTTTGGATCCTATTCATCTCTCCCACTGGTTTGGGGGTAATGCCAGTTGCCAATTTCTTTAGACTGCAGATAGATGCACTCCTAGACTAGTTTGGAGTCGCAGGTACGGGTTACTAACGTCTTCCGTGGAGCTTGACTGTGTGTTAGGATATCTATTTTTACCCCCTTCTTATCCATTTCTAGGTTTATGAGGGCATAGAAGTTTATGGTATATACCTCCGCGTGAAAGACGGTGGCTTTTTGTCCCAGTAAGATGCGGCAGTTTAGGCCACTGACTTCTATCCCTCTTTTACCGCTGCGTGGAGCTTTTCCTAAAGGTGGGCTTGTTTATTTCCCAATCATCCTTTTGTGTCAGGTTGAAACTGTTTGATACCCCTCTGGGTTGTGCTTTATCGGCGTTGTGTCAGATAGGGATCCGGCCACTTCTTTTATACAATTCTTCTCAAGAATTGCTGGGGAACCAGGCGAGGGAACGTGGTAGGGTTCTTCAGTTTGAACCCTGGGGTTCGGTGAAGCGCTATAACGTGTGCTATCGCTGGCTTCTTCGCATTTAAGTGGAGAGGCGCAAGACCTAGCAGTGCCTCCCTAGCGGCTGTGGGACAGGTGCTCATGGCTTCCGTCATACTTAAACAGGGAGGCCTTGGTATATGCTGCAGCTTTTGGCCACCAGAATTGGACTGGGTCAAGCATAGAGTGACCCAGTGACCCAGTTAGTTTACTGACCCAGTGAGCCGGTGACCCAGTGAGCCGGTGACCCAGTGACCCGGTGACCCAGTTGACCCAGCTTGATCCGGTGATCCAGCGACCCATTTTGATCCGGTGACCCAGCTTGACCCGGTGACTCAGCTTGACCAGGTGACCCAACTTGACCCGGTGACCTAGTTTGACCTGTGGCCCATCTTGACCCGGTGACCCAGTGACCCATCTTGACCCAGTTTTACTCGGTGACCCATCTTGACCCGATGGCCCAGTTTAAACCGTTGACCCAGTTTAAACCGTTGACCCCTAGGTTGATCCAGTTGAATCCGGTGACCCAGTAATTAAATTATTGTTAGGTATCATCCAAAACAATTTCAAGTTACTTTTAATTTAAAAAAAAAACTTCCTCAATAATATTCGCCAACAAGCACGTAGCCCAATTTCATTCAAGAGAACTAATACCTAAAAAAATTTGTTTATAGTTTGTAGTCAAGTAGTCAATGAAAGTATTTAGAGAAAAGATTTATTTGGATTAAGCTAACTAGTAGAAAAAAATTAAATGTGAATGAACACCTGTAAGCAAACTGGTAAGCCCTGAAGCAAAGAAATGAAGAAGGGAACTGTATAGAAATAACCTTACTCTAATACAATTCGGGACATGGAAAGTTTTTTACGGCAGTATTAAAGCAAACATCACAGAAATGGCAGTTGTCAAGCAATCGAGTATTATTTTCAACAAACCAGCATTTCATTTATTTCATAATCTGTACACTTGAACCGAGGGCAGTGACTTAACTGCGTTATTCGATCGAACTAGGTTACTGGGTCAAATTGGGTCCCCGGGTGAAATTGGGTCGCTGGGTCAAACTGGGTCACTGGGTCAAACTGCGTCAAACTGGGTCACTGGGTCTAACTGAAAAGAGTATGACGTGACCCAGCGACCCAATAACCCAGTTTAATTCAGTGACCCAAGTGACCCAGTTGACGCAGTGACCCAGTCCAACTCTGTTGGCCACCATATGACTGCGGCATAATTGATTATGGGGCTGAGGGTAGTCCTAGAGACGCATAAAATTGCCCGGAAGTTGAAATTCCGTTTGGAATAAAAACAAGTATAAATTGTGCACGATAAAACTAGTCGAAACAGGGCAATATTAGTGGAAAATGCCATTGCGTTTCAAGGGAAGTAAACAATTTCGATTCTGTTTACATTCTAGTGGAAAATCTAGCTTTTACACCGATGGGGATTTCACGAGGTGTTTGAATTCCTATGAACATCATGCTGTAGGCTTAGTTTTACCAACTTATCCAATGGTCTTACTCAAATCCTTGCAATTTTGTGATAATTTTAGAAGTGCGGTCTTTTGATGTGATAATGTGCACTTTTTTTAAGGTCTGAAGTTTGATCGAGTACAATTTATTAAACTTTACGGACTTCTATTCCTAATTTTGTTGCTTGGTATCAGTATGAACTTTAAGGATCTGCTGTATGAAATTAGTAGGTAACTTCGTAACCAACATTCTTGATACAGTAGTATACAATTTATCATGTTATTGTCACAGGGCGCATTTTTATTTCTTATTCCCCTTATCATCGTCATAAATAAACATGCAATGGCAGATTGGAAAACCAAAACGATAAACTTCTGAAATATGCGACGTGAAAGTAAATAAAGGCATAATAAATAGTTGTATCGCCACCATCTGAATATCAATATACACGCAATATAAAGAGAAATCACTAATAGCAAGTCGATCAAGCTTTTAAACTGTTCGACACGCGAAATCAGAAATACCGTATTCGCATATCTATCCGCGGGTATTTCACAAAGAAAACTTACTATCCCAATTGCCATATACATGCTCTAACAACACAAAATGAAAACGAATAGGTCCGTTGAAATGCTGCCGACTAAAGATTGAGAATTTTACAGACGGCCAAAAGAGAGCCATTATATGATAATAATATACCCAGAATTTTTCGGGAAGGTCCTAGGGATGTTGATCCTTAAAAGACTTCATGCTTTATGGAAATGAATCGCCTTTAGGCACCGGTTTTAAGTGCTGAAATTTTCCGCAATACGTTCTCTAATCAAAAAACAGCAATAACAGACCAATTACGCGTAATTAGTACAAACGTAGATGGCATCTATGTAGATATCTAAATTTAACACTATCGTCAATAATATGACAAAGCAGAAGGCAGTTTAACTTCTGTAATTAGAACAATATGGGTCACATCAAGTCGGTATGCTTCCGTTAATGTTTTTTTTGAGTTGAGGTTCATTGAGATCACAGTAAATAATGCTACCAGGCTATTTTTAATAAACACTCTTAAACTATGTTATGTTGAGCTGTTCCAGAGGATATATGCGGAATGCTAACAATCCTAACCAAGGCGTATGTGTGAATTGCGCAGATAAGTGCAATAAGTTACATAAACAGTGTTCAGCCTGCTACCACTACCACTACCTAATCAGTGAAAAGGAAATTTATCTAGGGGTTGTTAATGTATACGACTTACCTGTCATTTAACACGTTGCGCGTGAATCACTTTTCGTGGTAAAATAAATACTACTCTGACTAGCTTCTTACAAATTTTTATCTAAGATAAGAGTACGTGTAATCGTCTCAACTGTTAACGTAAATAGTGATTGTATTTCTCAAAACCTTCATACGAGTATGTTTACATAACATAATTCAAACGTGCACAGATTTTATATAGT